ACCTGGGCGGCCCCTGTGGCTCAAAGGAGTAGGGCACTGGCCCCATATGCCGGAGGTGGTGGGTTCAAACCCAGCCCCGGTCAAAAACTGCAAAAAAAAAAAAAAAAAAGAATCACAGACCTAAGTTACTCTCCCAGTCCCATGACTCCCGAGCTGTGTGACTTTGGGCAAGTTTCTGAACCTCCACTTTCTTGTCTGCAAAATGTAAATACTAATGGTCACTGAGGAAAGGATGACATGAGACCACGCATTGTCAGGCACCTGAGATCATTCAGTCAGGCACTGAATTCCAGGCCAAGCTTCCTGGCAACAAAGGCAAAAAGGCAAACAGGTGTCATTTCCTTCTACATTGTTAACGGGTAAACTGTAGAGTTTAAATTTTCAGCTCACTCCCTCCTGCTCCGTGTCTCCTCAGGCCAAGCTGCTGGACTCAAAGGGAACGGTAAACAAGTATTTCAATAACTCTGTGGCTTCCCTGACGATACCCACCCTGGGCAGCACCCCGTTCAGCCTCATCGTTAGACAGGATGTTGTGAATGCTGTGGTAGCTGCCTTGGTCCCTCCAGAAGAAATCATAATCCTATTGGACTATGTGGTAAGCCTCGGCAAGGCACAGAGGATGGGACCACCTATGCGGCATCCTGAATCAAAGGGGGCACAAGGACCCCTAGGGCCCCAAGCAGTAATCCCCTGTCAGACTCAGTTTAAATCACTCCAGTAATAGAAAGCTCACTCTCTCCCCTAAGAGACCCCATTGCTGACATAGACCTAAAACTGAAATCTTCCCTGTAACATCCAGCCCCAGTCCTAGTTCTGCCTGCTAAAAGACAGGTTCTGGTGCACCTAAAAGTTCAGGCCAGCAGGGACTCCATACGCCATAGCAGCTGACCTAGGGGCTGTTCTTCCAACAGTGACAAACATACAGCCTGCACCACCCAGCTTTTCTGGGGTCCTGGGAAATCTTCATCCTAGCAGCAGGGTACAGGTGTGTCTCCTCTGGGCCTCCATCTGACTGACCTTCTCTGGCTTCCTTTCATCCTCAGCTTCCTGAACTGGCCCGTGAGCTGAAGGCAAGAATCAGGGTGATCAATGAAAAGGTTGGTCCATTTGCCATCTGCAGCTTGATGGATGTACAGTGTGGTCTGTGCGCAGGCCTCTGGGGAGTAGAATCTGGACAGGACTACTCTCTTTCCTTCTAACACTGTGGGACCAAGACCAAGGCCCTTCCTCTCAGAGATTTTACTCTAGCAGGCCAGTTTAACCTGAACTCGAATAATCACATGGATGATATTTCTGTTGCAGGCTCCGTAACAAAGGACAGGTTCTAGGGGCTATGAGAACACTATGGGCACCTAATCTAGTCTGGGACATCAGGGAGACTTCCCTGAGGGGAAGAGTATTCTAGACAGAGAGAACAGAAGACCAAAGGCTGCCAGGCAGAGAGAACCATTCAAGGATCTGTAAGAAGGACAGTGTGGCTGGAGCACAGAGAGGAAGAATGGCTGGGCCACAGGGAGCCACAGGGGGACTGTGGGCCACAGTGAGGCACTTGGGAGGCCACATGTGACTCTGATGTCCTTCTAGGCTGCAGATCAACTGGGACCCACTCAGATTGTGAAGATTCGAACTCAGGAAACCCCTAAGCTCCTGCTGAGCCAAGATAGTGCCACGGTGGCCCAACTGATTGTGCTGGAAGTGTTCGCCACCAATGAAGCCCTCCACCCCTTTTTCACCTTGGGCATCGTGAGTTCAATTGTCTGTGACATTGGCCTGGGGACACTCCTGTTCACTGTTCTTGTTCATATTCTTGTGTGTTAAACATTTCCTCCACTCTCGTCACCCAGCAGGGGTCAGTGAGAGGAAGCTCTGGACCAAAAGTCAGGAGCTTTGGGGGCTCAATTCTGACCTTATTAATTTATTAGCCAGGGTCTCTGGGTAGAAACTCAACTCACACACACAAAAGGAATTTTATTAATTCATATCACTAAAAATTCCAGATGGTATTGGCTTCAGGAATAGCTGGATCTAGGTGCTCAAACAATGTCATCTTCGTTCTGCTGCCTTTTATCCTCAGGCAAAGTATTCCCTCATGGAAGTGCCCCAAGCTATATCAGTCTTATATCCTATCAGCCTGGCAATCCCAGCAGGACGAACCTCTTTGCCAATAGTCCTAGGAAAAGTCTCAAGGCTGACTCTCATTGAATGAGCTTGGGTCGTGTGCCCATTCCTGAGCCAATCAGCATAACCAGAAAAAATAGAATATGTAAATTTCCTGAGCTGGCACACATATATCCAGAGTAGAGGGCGGGAGTGGGTCCATCCAAACCACACAGACTGAGAGGGGGAAGGATATTCTGAAATATGAGCAGAACAAAATCATCTCCAAGAAAGTTCTTACCTATGTGTTCTCAGTTACCCCACCAAGTCAGATCTCATTTGGCTTCCATTTGGGGGAGACCTGGAGCTGAAGGTAATGGGGTGTGTATCCCCAAATGATAAGCCTACTAGGAAGGCATCTTAAGCAAGGCCCCTAGAAGCAGAGCCTGAGACAGGGATTCTTGTAAAACACATACACAGGGAGACAGCTCTCAGGGTAGGGCAAGGGAGGGTCTGAGCAAAGACGTGATCTCCACTGCAGCCTCGCTTTGCCTTGATCCCACAGGGAGCCTGGAGCATGGGCTGTGCCACCCTGAGCCCACGCCAGACAGTCCTTTGTCAGTCAGTTATTGGCCACCAGTGGCCTCAGAAAGGCAGCTCCATTTCCCCAAAGAAAGAGGCAGCTGTGAGCAATCAGTGGAGGGTGGATGCCCCACCTGTAAGGGGACCTGAGCAGGGCACCAACCACATCCTCTACAGAGGGCAAAGGAGAAGAGGGACAAGGAAGGACTCATGGATGGACGCTGGATATTAGGGCCATCCATGCCTAACCAGGCAGTATCTGGTTGTTGATAGCTGGCTAATGTTGACCCTGTCCTTAAGCAAGGTCACTGTGTTCAGCTGTGCAGGTTGCTCACACACAATGTCAGGGGATACCTTTCACAGAGACGACAGGATACATAGGGCCTGGAGTTGTTTAGCTTGGAGCCCTGCTTCTTGTGTTAATGGCTCTTCTAATCCCAAACCTGCCCCAGGCCAGCAGTGGGAATGGACTGCCCAGGCCAGCCTCACCCCTTGGTGACCTGGCCACCAAGTCCAAGATAAGTTTGTTCTTGGGGGCTTCTGGCCTGGAACTGGAGCCTGGCACAATGCTGTTAGGGTCACCTCAGTCCAGAGGTAGGTTGATGCATATCTTGGGCCCTACATCTAGGACCTGGCTTAGCTGCACCTTTCCAGTAATAACAGAAGTTACCATTCCCCTGGGTTCACTGATCTTCATTGTCCTTCAGTTTCCTCACCTCCACGATGGGGCAGTAATAGGACACAGCCCATAGAGTTGTGAGGATTAAAGGAGATATTAACATAAAACTCTTAAAACACCTAACACACAGCAAGGGCACCGTGCAAAATGTTACTGTCACCATCATCATCATCATCATCATAATTCCCCTCAACAAGCCTATGCTGTAGGGGAGTGGGTATAAGCACTACCCCATTTAACAGATGAGGAAAGTGAGGCTAGGAGAGGTGAAACCCTTTCCAAGGTCGCAGAGCCAGTAGCTGAGACTCAGACCATATCAGTTTGACCCCAGAGCCTCCTTGCATAACTCCCAGCCCCACATGGGACACATCCTCTTAAGAGAAATGGGACACAGGCGTTCTCTTGTTGCAGGAAGCCAGTTCAGAAGCTCAGTTTTACACCAAAGGTGACCTACTTATGCTCAACTTCAATAACCTCAGGTAAAAATGTAATTCATCTCAAAGATTCTGCTCATTAAGGTGAGTCCTGCCCAGGACTGTGGATTTCTTTCAATACCCAGTGTGTGGGTGTCACTGACAGTGGCTCCAGGATGGACAGGGGTTCTTGCCTGGCTTCTCTTGCTGTCTAGACTGAATGTGATGAAGAGGGAAGGAAAGAAGTGGCCTGAGGCAGCTTCAGGGCACATAAGCCCTGGCTGAGAATGGCCTACTCAGCACCATCCCCTAGTCCCTGACAGCCCATCCTGGCCACTTCCAGTCACCCCAGAGCAGAAGTGCAGGTCTCACCACCATCTACACCCTGTTTGTCCCTCCCCCCATCCCACCACTTCCTGCTGCCAAGAAGAAGTTCAAACAAAAGCCTTCTGGGACAAATTAGGCCCAGGGGTCAGCCCACATAGCCTTGGGTTTTTCTTAAATTAGTTAACATACAAAAATCAGACTATTAGACTGCCCCAGGGCCTACATTCCCACACAGCAGCAGACACCTGAGCTAGGACTAGATGGCCCTGGGACCAGAGCATGGGCTCCCTGGTCCACCCCAGCCTACAGCCTGGAGATTAATTTTCCTGATATTCAGACTGTGGCTTGTTTTCTGTGTCCCCCACCCCACCCACCACTGGAACATAAACTATTATGTGCCAGACACAGTATGACGCTAGAGCCACACACGTGCCTAACATAGGTGCTTGATAAACAGCTGTTGGATGAATGGATGGGCAGGGCACACAGACAGGACTCCAGGGGGCCACTCTCACAGGCATCTTCTGTTACAGGTGTAATCGGATCCAACTGATGAATTGGGCTATTGGCTGGTTCAAAGTAAGTTTTTCTTGGGTTTTTTTGTTTGTTTGTTTGGGGCGGGGGTTGAGACAGAATCTTACTCTTGTTACCCAAGCTAGAGTGCCATGGTATCATAGCTCACAGCAACCTCACACTCTTGGGTTCTTATAATCCTCCTGCCCCAGCCTTCCAAGTAGCTGGGACTACTGGTGCCTGCCACGACACCTAACTAATTTTTCTATTTTTAGTAGAGATGGGGTCTTACACTTGCTCAGGCTGGAAGTCCTGAACTCAAGGGGTCCTCCCACCTTGGCTTCCCAGAGTGCTGGGATTACAAGCATGAGCCACCCTACTACCCAGCTTGTTCAAATAAGTATTAACAGATTGTCCCAGAGGCCACAGAGGGAATGGCCCATTCTTAAGAGGCATTGCCCAGGATTTGCTTCAGACAAAGTCCTCCCAGAAGCCCCACAGAGGGCTGGCTGGCCCCCAGGTCATCAACTGAAGTCCAGCCTCCCAGCTCAGGCTAAGAACACACACACGCTCACACACACAAATACCTGTGCTCACAGATATGCATTCACTATCTTTCAATGAAATTTTGATCCTAAATTAGAAAGCAAATGTCCATGGTTCACATCTCACTTCACTCACATAGATGCACTTAGTAACCCTGGGCAGCCCCTTCCCTTTGGTCTTCAGTTTCCTGAATCCTGTCCTCTGCCATGTTTTCCTTGCTCTTTATATTTGTGCTTTGAAAATGTTTTTTAACTAATATTTTAAAATAGGGAGATTTCCACATGAAAATCAGCACTTCTGGCTTCCCTTGAGAAGTTAAAAACTCAGGCAGGCTGGGCACAGTGGCTTACATCTGTAATTCCCCCACTTTGGGAGGCCAAGGCTGGAGGATCACTTGACCAGGAGTTCAAGACCAGCCTGGGCAACACAGCAAGTCCCGAATCTCTAAAAGAAAGAAAGAAAATCATAGGCAATGCAGGGCAAAATTCCCTCAGGTCAAATTTGGCTAGAACAGAGCAGTGGAGGCCCTGAGAATAAGACACTTCCCATACACACCAATGTCCTCACCTACTAGGCCCCAGGGGCAGCTAAGTTCCTATCCTACCCCAGCCTGTCTGGTTCCCAAGAGCCCTTGAGGCTCTGATTAGCCAGGGATCTGAGATTCCCGCATCTCCACCGCCACTGCCCTCACCTTGGGGTGAGCTGTGCCCATGCAGAATGCCTGGGAAGCCTTTAGATACTCAATCGGAGTGACAGTGCCCCTTCTCTCTCACAGCCTGAACCTCTGACAAACATCATCACCGAGATCCTTCTCTCCACCCTGCTGCCAAACCAGAATGGTGAGTCCCTTTGCCATGTGTCCCCCACTTCCCCCAGGGCCTTGCTTTATTTCCCCTTCTTGCACCTCCACTCAGGGCCCCTTTCATTCATTTTCCATCCATCCTTCAAAGTCTAGTTCACACTTCCCCTCCTCCTAGAAGACTTCCTTGTCTCCCACTGCCGACATCACGGCCCAGTTTCCTAGTGCCAGAGCCCAGGCTTGCAAAGATGAGCCAGACAGTAGCCCAGCCTCCCGGGGCTGACAGTAAGAAAGAGAGAGGTGTAAACAGACAGCTAGACCACACTTGAGGGTCCTCAGAATGCCTGAGTTCAAGTCCTGTTCCCCTCTTACCAGCTCCCTGGCTTTGGTCAAGCTGCCTAATCCTGCCACACCTCGGTTTCTCCATCTTTAAAATGGAGAAATAAAAGTCCCTTCCTCAGAGGCATGAAAAAGACGATAGTTGTAAAGGGCAGAGGGGCCCAGCACAGTCAGGGGCCCAGCACAGTCAGCGCTTTATTTCTTAACCATTGCTTTTGCTGCTGGTGTGTTATTTGTTACTAATGGAAGAAGCAGAGACAGAAGGTACTTTAATTAAGCTCCAGGTCATGGGGTGGGGAGAGTTGACAACCTACATCAGCCTTGCCTTTTTAATTTCTTTGTTTTATTAGAGTAGGAAATCTTGTAGCCTAGAGATCTGTGCTGCAGTGATAATAGCAATCCCGGACAGTCTGTGAGCAGGGGTGTGAGAGGAAGTGAGGGTTGTGCTTTGTGAGCAGCCAGAAGCCACTGCCAGAGGCAGAGGGTGGGGAGATGGGGCCAGAGAAGAGATGCGCAGAGGCAGAGGGGACAGTCTGAAGCAGGCCATCAGGGACTGCAAGCCAGCCTGTGGCTGCCCAGTCCCACCCAGACCCACCAGCCTCTCATCATGTTTGTTATTTTCAGGCAAATTAAGACCTGGGGTCCCAGTGTCAATAGTGAAGGACTTGGGATTCGAGGCAGCTTCATGCTCCCTGATCAAGGTAAGTAGAGTGCGGACCTAATCAAACATCCTGCCCTGGGGAGGGCACAGCCGCTGAGAGAGCTCTGGCTGGGAGGTGGGCCTTGCTTGCTAGTCACTCACTGGGACTTTGCGCAAGCCCTTTCACCTCAGGGCCTCGTCTCCTCACCTGCAAGGGAGAAGGTTGCCTGTGCCCTGCGAATGGGACTCCCCTAGCCTGGGCTGAATACACTGCATCCATCCCTCTTGTTACTCCTTTATTCTTGCATGTATTTATTCATTCAGTAAATTTTTTTTTTTTTTTTTTTTGAGACAGAGCCTCAAGCTGTCCCCCTGGGTAGAGTGCCATGGCATTACAGCTCACAGCAACCTCCAACTCCTGGGCTCAAGCGAGTCTCCTGCCTCTGCCTCCCAAGTAGCTGGGACCACAGGCGCCCGCCACAACGCCTGGCTATTTTTTGGTTGCAGCCGTCATTGTTGTTTGGCGGGTCCAGGCTGAGGGATTCGAACCCGCCACCTTAGGTGTACGTAGCTGGTGCCTTAGCCGGTTGAGCTATAGGCGCCGAGCCCAGTAAATATTTTTTGAGAGCCTCCTGTAGGCCAGCCATGCTTCCGAGTCCTTGTGGTTACAGAAATGAGCAAACAGAAAACATCCCTGTCCTTTGCAGAGCCCACATTCTAACAGAGAAGACAAATACATAAATTCATAAATATAGGCTCGGCGCCTGGGCTCAAGTGGCTAAGGCTCCAGCCACATACACCTAAGGTGGCGGGTTCGAATCCAGCCGGGCTCGTCAAACAACAATGACGGCTGCAACCAAAAAATAGCCAGGCGTTGTGGTGGGCGCCTGTAGTCCCAGCTACTTTGGAGGCGGAGGCGGAGGCAGGAGACTCACTTGAGCCCAGGAGTTGGAGGTTGCTGTGAGCTGGATGCCATGGCACTCTACCCAGGGTGACAGCTTGAGGCTCTGTCTCAAAAAAAAAAAAAAATTCATAAATCCATAGCATCAGGCCAAAGACATAAAGGCTGAGAAGAAAAATAAAGAAGCTTTGAGAGGAAGAAAGTAATGCCAGGGGAGGGGGTGATGTTTTAGATGGGGTGTTGGGGAAGGACTTTCTGAGGATATGACATCTGAGCCAAGGAGGTGAGGCAGTCAGTGAGCCTGTGGGTAGCCGGGAGAAGTGTCCCATTGGAAGGGACAGCAAGTGCAAAGACCCTGAGGCAGGGTTGTTTCATGTTCCAGGAAAGATGAATAGGGAGGGCCAGGGATCTGTAGAGCATAGGCCTAAGACACCACACACACACATATGCACACACAACACATTCTCACACACGCATTCACACACATGTAGCCAAATGATCTCAGTTCAGCAGGGGTTGGGATCATGTCCATTTTGTCCATGCCTCTGTCTGTAGTGCTCAGCAAAGCCTGGAAGAGAGTAGATGTCTGGTGAATACTTGTTGAGCATTTATTGCTACTCTCCATGGTGTCTGTGAGGAAGAGGAGCTATAACTGTGTCACCCTCACCCTTGAGTATCACCCTTAAAAACAATAGCTCGCAGTCACTGAATGTGTGCCAGGCACTGGGGTATAGGCAGCATTGAACTCAATCTTCACACCCAGGTCCTGATGTTCATCTCCATTTTACAGATGGAGCTCAAAGGTGGCAAGAGCCTTTCCAAAGTCACACAGCCAGTAGGTGGCAGAAGTGGGATTTACACTCAACACCTACTTTGCTAAGTCTCTGCTTTGAGCCCCAAACTCTGCCCGAACTAATGGCAGTGAGGTGCCCATCTCGGTCAGCAGGTCAGCAGGCATTTATTGAAAACCTGCTGTGTGCAGGCACTGACCATCATGGTGAACAAAGCAGACAGAAGCCCCTGCCTTCTCAGAGTTTCAGTTCCACTCTAGAGGAGGACAGTTGTTGAAAACAGAATTTTTAACAAAACCCAGCTGGGCATGGTGGCTCACACCTATAAGTCAAGCATTCTGAGAGGCCAAGGCAGATGGATTGCTTGAGTTCAGGAGTTCGAGACCAGCCTGAACAAGAGCAAGAACCCATTTCTACTAAAAATAGAATAAACTAGCTAGGTATGGTTGAAGTCCCTGGTCATGAAGCTGAGGCAAGAGGATCACTTGAGCCCAAGAGTTGAAGTGGTTATGAGCTATGATGCTGCCACAGAGCTCTACCCAAAGTGACAGAGTGAGACTCTGTCTCAAAAAATGAAAAAGAAAAGGAAAGGAAATCCACATACAACTTGCCTATGACCCTTCCTTGATAAGATATCCAACCTAAGGCCTGGGATGTGCTTGGACCAAACCTTTACCTCCTATTAGTCCTGATCTGCCCAAAGCTGTCGATTGCAACCACTGAATTCTAAGCTGTTTAATTCTGGAGAAATCCACACAGGGCAAGAAGTCTCAAGTATGACCCAAGGTCATATCTGAAGGAAGGGCTGGGGGCTTTGTTAACTGACTTCAAAGGTGAAGTGACATTTTCCTTATTATTCGCTGTGCACTGTGAAAAACTGTGCCTATGCGTCAGCTGGTTCTGACGGGGAATGGCGAGAACAGCATTGTAGGTAGTACGGAGAGGCTGAGAGTCTGGACCCAGGAATCAGACCACCGTTCCAATCCCAGCCCTGCCTCTCTCTAACCATGGGTCCTCAAGCAGGTCCTTTGGCCTCACTGAGCTCAGCTTCCTCATCTAAACCCAGCAGATGTCTGAATATAACTGGTCATTCACTAGGGATGACACTACAATTATCCAATTATAACATAAACAATTTATCTAAGACAGATACGCGCCTGATTCATCTTGAATGGACAACCTGTGCTTCATACCAGTGGGTGGTCGGAGCTTACTTTATTTCATGTATTTCTTACTAAGGGGCGTTTAGAATCTTGCTCTTCTTTTTTTTTCTCAATCAACTCACATTGCCTAATCCATCATTTATAATCTGATTTGGAAAGGTATAGTTTCTATCTTTGGATCTGTTTCCAAATTACCCATTTGGCTTTATCCATTTGTTTGTAGCTAGCAGCACATCGATTTCCTTTCTATAGCTTTATAATAGTCTGTGTTTTAAAATCTAGTAGAAGAAATAAATAAAAGGATAGATGTGAGATAAAGCAAGCAGTATTAAAAGAAAACTTGATGGGAGAATTTAAGTGATGGGTATATAGTTGTTCACTGTAAAATTCCTTCAGCTTTGCTGGATGTTTAAAGTGGTCATAGGCTGACCACGTTTACAAGTGGTTCATACTTGTAATCCTAGCATTCTGGGAGGCTGAGGCAAGAGGATCCCTTGAGCTCAGAAGCTCCAGACCAGCCTGAGCAAGAGTGAGACTTGCCTCTACAAAAAATAGAAAAAATTATTTGTGGCAGGATCCTATAGTTCCAGTTACTCAGGAGGCTGAGGCAGGAGGATCACCTGAACCCAGGAGTCTGAGGTTGCTATGAGCTAGGCTGACACCACAATGCTCTAGCCTGAGCAACAGAGTAAAGACTCTTGTCTCAAAAAAAAAAAAAAAAAAAAAAAAGTTCATAATGAAATGTTGGGGAAATCTAATAGGGTAAGTTCCTCTTATATTACACTTAAGTTTCTCCCCGAAAAGCCAGAGGTTTGCTAAAAATTCAGCTGCCTGGGTCCCAATGGATATAGCCAGGAATCTTTATTTGAAAGAACTTGGAGAACTTTGGTGGCAGGTTGGGCTTGGGGACAACAGTCCTACACAGTCCCACTGCCTGCTCACAGATACGTCACTTCTGCCCCAGGCCCCTGGATGGCTTTACTATTCACACAGACCCTCCACCTCCATCCCTTCCAATAATTCTGCATTTGTGAGTTCAGGGTCATGATCCCTCAATACTAGCAGTCACCTTGTAGTGAACCAAACTAGCATAAACCACAACCAAACAGGAGATAAAAACCTATTTGTCTTTTCTCTTCTAATCCCAGAATGCCCTTGTGGTCACCCCAGCCTCCTCGCAGATGCTCGACTCCCCTCTCTCCCAGTGAAGCTTGGACCATGACCCATCTAGGGAAGGCTGGGCACAAGCTCTGTACACCACCCCTCTCTGTAAACAATAAACACTTGCCTCTGACACCTGCAGTCTGGAGTGTATTTTTGTCCCAGTAGAGGGGTCATTTTGTGCCTGGAAGTCTTGGGAACTAAACATCTGAGCCAGATCTGGGTCATGTTCAGGCCCATCAAAGCCAACCTGGGCAATGTCTGAGCTACATCTGGGCTACAGCGTACCATGTGTGGATGACGTCCTGGTCTCGACCACCTCCCTCAGCTTCAGGAATAAGAAAGCCATTTCTTCCCTCCTGTCTTCCATGTTCGGTCAGCCTCAAGACCATCTCTGGCGGGATGGCCTTTTAGGTGGGGGACATACATTTTGTTGATCTTGGTGGTGTGGTGTCTGAACAAGGTGGCTCTGGGAGCAGTTTGCACGAGGCTTTGAGTTCAGGCCTGGCCCCTCAATGTTTCTTTGACCTTGGGATGTGGCTTCCCTCTGTGGGCCTTTTCTGAAAAATGGGGGAAATGGGAAGCGTCATAGTCCCCTCCCAGATCCCCTTCCTGGGGGGGGCTGTGGTGACAACTAAACAAGAGAATAAGTCCAGGCAAATGCTAGGTGCTCAAACATTGTCATCTGGGGATGATGTCATCGTCACTGCTATCTCTGGCCTGTGGAGTGTTAGGCCTTATCACCAAAGTCCCTTCCCACTTGGACAGCATGTGACTGCCATTGTCTTCCTGGTGTCCGTCCAGGACAGACAATAGCACCCCTGTTCTCCAGACCCCGGACCTGCTCCAATACCAGAGTTCTGCACCTACATGAGGGGCCTTGCAAGGAGGGGTAGGGTGCTGTTTCAGGAAAAGATGTTACTCAACTTCGGAGCACGAACAGGTATAAAAACAGGTCACAGCCCAGGGAGGGGGCCAGGGAAGGAGCTTCTGCGACAGACAAGGCATGGTCCAGGCCCAGAGTGACACGAAGCAGCCAGGACAAGACCCTGCACGAGGCGCTTCAGCCACTACTTACTGAGCAGCTGTGGAGTGCTGAGGCTCCCCACGTGTCCCCAGCTCCCAGCCACAATCTGAGGACCAGGTAGGAATTTGCTCCCCACACATTATTTTTCTTAATTATGTTAAATCTAGGCTTGAACCCCCATTCACAAGGGAGGAAAGTCAATCTCCATCTTGACCTGAGGTAGATCTCATCTGGCTCTGTAGGGTCATTCGAGGATCTTTCAGGGGTTTCCAGGCAGCCTGGAGGACAGGGCAGAACCTCTGGTCTTGGCCCCATCTGATTAAGGCATCTCTGTTCCAACACACAAGGTCCTGTCAGAGATGGGGCAAGAGGATCCTCTCCTAACAGCCATAACCGTGGGTCCTTGGAGTCTGACCATCCATGTCCTCTGGGGCTTCCTGGGAGGTAGGTGGATAAGCAACCTCAGCCTCCTCACCCTCAGGGCAGGGAGCAACTCTGAGTTCCCAGAGTGCCCTGCAGGGTGACTGGCTTGAGAGCACACTCTTCATGGGCTGTCACCCCACCCTGTGTCACTCCCCACTCCCACCTGTGCTCCCTGATGTCATCTCCCAAATCAACTCTCCCCACTCAGTCATACCCTCAGAATCCACTTCTGGGAACCCAAACCAGGACACCATGTGCTCCACACAGCTACTGTTTAAGGGTCTTACAGACCTTCGTGCACCCCGCCTTCCCCACTGCTGTGGCACAGGCTCCACCTTCACCCCACTTGACAGATGAAGAAACTGAGACTCTGACCCCTCTGCACCACTGCCAGGCAGTCCCTAACCATTACCCCACACTGCCTCCCTCTCCCCTCTGCTCCTGCATCACATGCCACACTTGGGTCTCCATGGACTCTGGCTGGACTCCCACCCTGCAGCACCACGAATGTCCAGAGTATGACACCTGCTTGCTAAGGAGCGTCAAAGCTTATCTCATTATTAGCACATGCAGTTGCTTGAGGGCTTCTCTCCGGGCTGGGAGTTCATCTCACTCCCAGTGCCTCCCTCAAGAACCAATGTTCTGGTGCTTGGTCTCCTACAAGATAAACATACAGACTCCATGGGGCTCTGGCTAAATTCCCTCCTCCTTGGTTTAGAGAGACCAGAGACCACCATGCCTCCACTAACATCCTGCACTGGTGATTCAGATGAGGCAATTAACCTAAGAGCCTTTCTCTGCCCCAGGCAGGAAGAAGACAACCCTTGGCAATAACCTTGAAACCCAGTCACAGAAATGAAGGGGACCTACCAACTCTTAAAGCATCTTCCAATTCAAAAAATCTGAGATTCTAAAATAGTAATATCCCATCTAATACATGCTACCAAAACAGAATGTTAACATTATACATATAATTACTATATTATAGCAGTAGCCAGTTAATCTTGACATTGGCCAAAGTGAGAACTTCAGAACTAGCTAACATTGACCTTGTATTTCCTATGCAGCTACTACCTTCCAGAACCAGCCCTTCTGCCCCACATCTCCAGCCAAAGAACAGAGTTTAACACCTGCCCTGAAGTTGTAAAAGGGAAAGAAATTAATCACAGGGAATACTTCAGGGAAAATCTGTAAGATCCAGTCGTGCTCACCATTGGGGCGACCACACTGGACAGCAGTTAATGAAGGTGTCAACACTACACAATCAGCTGTGCACACTCACAGAGGAGACACCAGGATCCCACACGAGAGAACCTTCCTAGGTCAACTTGGCTGAGAGTGGGACTCAGAGTCTTAGAGCTGCATGACATAGTAACACCAAATTTCCCTTTCACTGGGCCCTGATTTCAAATCCCATCTTTATCACAGACATGATGTGTGACTTACAGCAAGATACTCAACCTCTCTGAATCTCAGCTTCCTCATCTAGAAAATGGAAATTAAAATAACTTCTTTGACCCGTTCCTACATGCCAACTCATGGCCTCCACATGCGTTGCTTCAACAAACCTTCACAAAACCCAAAAGAAATAGGTGGATTTATTATTCCCATTTTACAGACTTGAAAAGTGAGCCTCAGGAGGGAAAATAACTTGCCCACAGTCACACAGCTCTTGAATGACAGTGGTGATTTGAATCCAGGTCTGCCTGGCTGTAGAGGCCATGCCATTGGTGACCACACCTTTGCAGAAATGATGGCATGGATAACATATACAGAAAGGGCAGGGGGAAGAGCCACAAGGTGCTGGCCCCTGTCACCTGCTTCTGCTCTTCTCCCTCCACCCAACCACTCCCTTAGGTTCTGTGATAGCCATATCCGGTATTAGAATCCTCCTCCTGGGCCTGCCAGGATCCACAGCTCTGATGCTGTTTTAAAAGGAAAGGGCCCACCCCCAAAACCACAGGGCCACACAGTCTTCCTTTCTGGACTTTGTTGGCCCAGGGCACAGAGCCTGTCCCTAAAGCCACAGGGATGGCCCTATCAGTTTTGGCCAGAAACCCCTGCCACCTGGTGCCAAGAGGACCTCTGCCTCTACTGAAGAGCTCCTCTGAGCCACAGCCCTGGCCAGGGGCTGGACTTCCTGCCCGTGTGCCCACCCACCTGGGCTACAGCACTCAGGCTATAAAAGCTATCTTTCCAGAAATCTGGAGACAGAGGCCAGGAAGAGGTTCCAGACAGTCCCATCCTTGGAGAGGTAAGGCCAACGAGGTCAACATGACATTTCTCTAACATGTTTTGAGTATCTACTAAAAAATGTGGTGAAGTGGGGCACAGACTTTTAGTGCCAGGAGAACCTGGGCTAATCACAGCTCTGTTATTTACCACCTGTTGTCACCTTGGGTAAGTCATTTCTGCTTTCTGAGCCTCAGTTTCATCATCTATACAATGGGTTTGGTATAGATGATCCCAGACCATCATGGTGAGGACTCTGTGAAGCTTGTAAGGTTCTCGGCATAATTCCTGACACTAGAACTCTAGAAGTGGAGGAGGTGGGGAGTGCAGGAAGACGGGCATAAAGCGCTGAGGGCAGGAAGGATGAGAAACTTGGCTTAGGGGAACTGATGGAAAAGAGCGCCTGACACAGAGACCACCTAAATGCCAGTGGCAGGAATAGTGGATGAATTTAAGTTCAGCCTGACAGCAAACACAAAGCTTTCTTTTTCTTTTATCCAGTGTAGTCACTGTTTTGAATTCCTGTGCTACCAAAGAGCAAAAAACGTGATACTCAAGCCAATGCCAGGATTTCCTCAGGCACTGCAGAGTAGGCTCGACCACTTGGCAGTCTCCTCTCTCTGCTCAGGGGCAGCATCTACACCCTGGGTGGCTTCTTCATGGGTGTGGCCTGGGGGGAAGTGGTGGCTCCTCTACTCGACATCTGCCCTAGAGGTGTCTGTGTCCGGCTGGTCATTGCATTCCAGAGGCTTTGTTACCTGGTGGTATCCTCTTGTTCACCCAGAAAGCCCCCTGCCTGCAAACTCTGGGGTCTCAGCTATATCCTTTTGGCCACTTGGGCAGGGCTGAGGTTCTGCTGGTAGGAACTGGTACAAACACACTGGTTGAAATATTCCCTTACTGCTTCATAAAGATCCGTGACTTCCAGTGCCCCAAGTGCCTACCCCCCCCCCCCGCCACCCTTGCCACTATGGCACCTCCCCTATGACCTCCATGCCGTAGCCTCCTCAGGAACCGAAAGCTTCCAGTGTTGAAAAGAGTACTACATCCTTTGATATCTCACAGTGTCACCCAGCCACTGGGTGACATGTTTTGCACATGTTATTAAATGTATCCCTCACGACAACCTCTGATTGTCCCCACTTTACAGATGAGAAAACTGAAGCATGGAGGGGTCAAGTGACTTGCTCAGGTCACAGTCAGGAAGTGGCAGAGTCCAGCTTTGAAGCCAGCCCACACAGCAGGAAGGATACTCCCGGGACCTGCAAGCACAAACACTGGTGGTGGGAAATGTGGGCTGTGTCCAAGGATCTGCTATGGGCAGCGGCAAAGGAAGAAAAGTTGGAGAGAAGGTTCTAGGAGAGGCAGAGCTGGGAGACATAAGGTGGTGGGTACCCAACAAGGACATCAGTATTCCCATCTCTATGTTTGCAGGTCCTAGCCAGGAGGATGCTGCTGTTCGGGGGGCTACTGCTATGTTGGGGACTCCTGCCCTGTCAAGGGGAGGCCCAGAATCTACTCTTTCTGCGGATCAGCAAGGATCAGATGGAAACAGGTAAGAGTTAAGGAGTGAGTTGTGGGAGGCAGGAGCTCAGGGACAATGGGGTGAGAAACGCAACTACCTCCTGCTCAAAGCTCTTCCTCCTCTGGCCTTCCCCTTTCAGCCACACAGAATTCACCTTCCTTCACCCAGAGCTGGCCCTCCCTTCCTCTAACACTTGCCATGGCTCCCTAGTGCCTTCAGGAGAACCTCCAAGCCCTCATCCTGGTGTTCAAGGGCCTGCTTCTCTAGCCTCTCCCACACCACCTTCCCTAACCACCCTGCAGACCTGCTTCACTATGCTGCTTCTTTTGCCTAAAATGTCCTTTCCTCTCCTTCTTAACATGGTGAATTCTGATGCATCCTGGAAGGCAAAGTTCTAACCACCTCCTCTAGGAATCCCTCTTGATCTCCCCAGGCAGAAGGAATCCCTCTGGGTTCCCACAGCCCTGTGGGGAAGTCTCCTCAGTGGCCTTACCCAAGTGTATTATGCCTGTTTTCCTGTCTGTCCATCTGCTTGTCTGTTCTTCTCTCTCCCTAACTGAAGACTGTGAGGTGCTTGTTGCCCACCCACCTCCCACCCTGTTCACCACACTCCAGCCTCACTGACTTTTCTGTTTCCTAAACTCACGGGCTCATCACTGCCCCAGGGCCTTTGCACTTGCTGCCCCTCTGGCTGCACTGCTCTGCTCCAGGCCTCTCAGTAATGGAGTCCTTCACTTCATTCAATGCCTTCTCCTCTGAGAGGCCCTCCCCAATCACCCTATCTAAAATAGGCCCCACTCCAGTGGTGCTCCAACTCTTGTATTTCCTTTGTGACACATACCACTATAAAAAATTATTCTGCTTACTGCTCTCAGTGCTCGATGATTGTCTGTCTCCCTTGCTAAAGAGTAAACTCCATAAGGACAGGAGCCACATTGCTCCTGTCCCCTGAGCCCAGGAGAGAGTCCATGCTCAAGAAGTTCTTATTACTGAACGACCATCAAAGGTGGCTCCAAGCAGGTGCTAGTGGGCATTTGTTGAATGGCCGAATGAAGAGCACAGCCCCACACTGAGGAGGGGCTCATGTCCTCAGACATTTCAGACCTGTTCTCAGAGTACCACATCCTGGACCGAGTGGTTAGCCTGCCAGTGACGGTGGCCTCGAATGAAAGTGTCGCTATCCTGGACCATCTGCCCTTTGTGAGAAAGAACCTCTCTAAGAAGAGCAGCAGGCTGGACCTGTCGCTGGTCGGGGACCTGCTCTCAGGGAAGAACCTCCCGCTGCTAAGGGACCTGCTCCAGGCAGGAGGGTGAGTCGCCACCCTAAGCTGCCTCTGACATTTTCTGTTTCCCTGAGTTTTGATGCTTCCCCTGGCAAGTGGAGCAGGGGCAGGTGGGAACCCCAGGTGTCTTTGGAGGCTCCCTACAGTCTGGACAGCATGAGCAAGTGCATTTTTCTTGCCCCTATATCCCTCCAAGCCACCAGAAATCTTCCTAGGAAAAAAGCAGAGTCTCAATCTGGCGTCAAAGCCTGGCAAGGCTCCCACCTTCCACATGCAGCCAACACCTGGGTTTTACAATTTTACACGGAATTTTTAAAAACATATATATATATAGGTATATATTTTGAGGTGGGATCTTGCTCTGTTGCCTGGGCTAGAGTGCAGTGGAGTACAACCTTAAATTCTTGAGCTCAAACGATTCTCCTGCCTCAGCCTCCCAAGTAGCTAAGACTATCAGTGAGTACCACCACACTCAGCTAATTTTTCTACTTTTTGTAGAAATAGTACATTGCCCAGGCTGGTCTCAAACAGTTGGGCTCAAGTGATATTCCCACCTTGGCCTCCCAAAGTGCTGGGATTATAGGCATGAGCCACCATGCCCAGCATCCACTTCCTGTTTTTATAAGGACACCAATCCTGTTGGATTAGGGGCCCACCCTACTCCAGTATTTAACATTAATAATTACATTTTCAACGATGCTTTTTCCAAATAAGGTCACATTCTGAGTTATGGAGGCTTAGAACTTCAACATATGAATTTGGGGGTGAGGGACACAATTTAACCCATAATACCGATTCTCTCTAAAGCAAAGATCTAGCCACACCTGCCATGTCCTCCCAAATGACCATCACTGGTGCAAGGCTGTAGCCCCTAGGCTGGTCCCCATCACCTCTTCCACTCACTTCCATTGCCTGTTTGGACCTACAGGCAACTGAGTCTGAGACTCCTGATAAAATAAGTGCCAGCATAAATGAATGGTGTTGACTTGGGTTAGGGCTCCTGCCCCAATCACAGGCACATCTCCAAATCCGTCCCCCAGCATGAGTGGGGGATCCAACAGATCCTAAGACTCGGGAGAAATTTTGGTGGGGATAAAATGAAATGAAAAGGCAGGATACTAGTTGGATGGGGTCATGGTCCCAAAGCTGTCCCCAACCCTTATAGGGTCTGGCCCATCCTAGCTAATCCAGATACACATACTCTGCAGAGTCACAAAGGCCTGGCCAGGCCATACCAGCACCCTCCATGCCTTCACAGGTTAGTCGTAGAAGATGCCAAAGGACCTGAGGTCACCCTGCAAATCCTGAGTGACAGCCTACTACAGGTCACATTGCGCTGCAAACTGTACCTCTCGCTCCTGGAGTAAGTATGTGTAGATGCTTCTGCACCATGCACTCAGGTGCCAGGACGCCCAGCCCCTCATGGCCATGGCTCAAGAGGCAGCTATGCAGAGCTAGTAAAAGCCAAATGCTTTGTGTCCCCACAAGGATCACAACCATCCATTCCACTTGGGTATGTTTCAAAGCCATTTTTACTGATGGGGAAACTAAGGCAAAGAGTGGGAGAGGAACCTTCCCAGGAACACATGGCACAAGGAAGTCAGTGGCAAAAGCTAAAATAAAACCCTCTGACTCCCACGTCCTGACACGAACCCCATCTGAGTAAATGGGCAGGTCAGTGCATTAACGGGATGACCCAAGAAGAGTCTCGCAATCCTGGGCCCAGAGACTTGAGCAAAGGGTGACCATTCCCTAGACCTCAGTTTCCTCATCTATAAAATGGGTTATAATTCAGGTTCCTTACTGCAGCAGGCTGTTGTGAGAGCTTACCTGCAGAGTTCTGAACTGTGGAACAGTAACATTCCTAAATGCCCATTAGGATATATCCACTCCTGTTTTTCTTTTTTTCTTTTTTGAGATATAGTCTCATTATGGCCCCTCGGTAGAGCGCCATGGCATCACACAGCTCACAACAACCTCCAACTCCTGGGCTTAGGTGATTCTCTTGCCTCAGCCTCCCGAGTAGCTGGGACTATGGGCGCCTGCCACAATGCCC